GTTAGTGTGTGTGTGTGTGTGTGTGTGTGTGTGTGTGTGTGTGTGTGTGTGTGTGTGTGTGTGTGTGTGTGTGTGTGTGTGTAAATATATTCGTGCTAATATAATATTGGTAGATTTTGACATTACTTCAATAAGAATAAGGTTCGTTAATATCTTAAACTCCCACACAAGGTAAACACAATAATGTACGACCTCATTTTGTGCAACATCATGCCGGTTCCATTGATGCGATTTTAATTGTTCTTAAAAATGGCATTTTCTCCTTATTGTTCTCACGAAACTTGCTTTCTTACTTGACAGCCTGAAGGCGTAGGAATCAATGCTATCCCTCGAAGTGTCTTCAATAAAATGACCATAGTGCAGCGAAAGGCTTCTGTACGGGGTTTCCCCTGTCACTACATTAGAAAAGGCGGTAATTCACCGTGGATTGTTGTCTGTGTTGAAACTTTAGATGCTTTATTCGGTGATGCCGTTTCTGATCCAGAGACATGAAGGAATTTTGGAAAAAAATATCAGATAAGGAGGAGTACAAGTTGAAGCGTTACAATGGAATATGAGAAGAGTAGGTACACGCTTTTTAACATATATACTAGATAGATAGGTGGATGGATGGATAAATGGATGGATGGATGGAAGGATGGGTGGGTGGATGGATGAAAAGATGAATGAATGGATGAATAAATCGGTAGAAAAATAATAATATACAATATATAGTCAGATAGACAGATAGCTCTACAGACATGCAGACAGACAGACAGACAGACAGACAGACAGACAGACGGAAAGACAGACAGACAGGCAGATAGACAGACAGACAGACAGATAGACATATGAATTATCCCTAGGTTCAGTTGCAGATAACTCGACACACACGAAGAAAGAATGGATCGCAAAGAACAAACAGACAGGGATTGGGGGTTGAGACAATGAGCTAAATAGAGGGAAGGACAAACTTTTTGTCATAGCTGTCCACTCCACTAAATTCCACTTCACTTTTTTACCCTACCCTACACTGCACTCGATTACACTACATTCAACGACACGCTATACCTCTCCACTCCATTCCACCCCATTCCACAAACTCCTTTTTTACTCCATTCGTGTCTACTCTCTACTTTACTCCACCAAACGTACCCCCCCCCCCTTTCCACAAAACTCCATTACTCTCCTACTCCATTAAACTCTGCTCCACTCCTTTCGACTCCACTTTTCCCCGCTCCCCTCCACTCCACTTTTCCACATTTTACTAGACTCGAAGACGGCTCTCAACATTTGCAATGATACCGCAACAAATCTTGCCCTAATAAAGCAAATTACGATATTAAAACCCCCTTAAAAACACCCCGTATCATACCTCATCATTCCTGGTAACACAATATCACACCTCACCACACCATACCACACAATAATTTCACCACACCACATCATACCACAACATTACATCACACTACAACACACCACACAACACCATACCACATCACACGAGTCAATAGCGTACAATATTATGCTTAAATTTACCACACCATTCTTTATAACATTCCGCGCCCCCTCCCCCTCCCTTTCGTTCTTTCCCTTTAGTCTGCCTCCAGGAGCCCTCCATAGGTATGTGCAGGGCCTTCACCATTCAATACGTTTACGATGTCTCCAGTGGCCAGTGTATAGAAATGACGTACGGGGGATGTGGAGCCTCTGAGAACAGTTTCACGACGTTGCAAGAGTGTCAGCAAACATGTGGTGAGACTGCCAGTGAAACGGATTTCGTCCTGATTTGAAACACCCAATTTTTAAAAAAATGCGGGGGGGAGGGGGGGATGATCAAAGACGACATATAACTGAGGTGCTAATTGTCTAATTCTTAAACGTTTTTTAAAATTTTTGTCACATTTCCATATAATTGATTCAAACTTGTGAGTCAATCAAGATGACAAGAACTTTGAGAGTACAGACAGGACAGCGTATGATTCCTTCAGGAAAAGAAAAACACTATCTTTCATATTATTATGTGATGCCTTACAAAGATAGTTTGAGTAGCTCAGCAAAAAATGACAAAAATAGAAATTGTGACCGTATCAGGGACTCTCAAACCATTTTACTGCTATGCTAGGATGTTTATCTGTGTTGAAGGAAAAAGGTACATTTTAAGTTAATTACACAGAGCTACAGGACTTCTAAAGAGACCAATTGTGGTCATACAGTATGCATGAGAACGTGCAGCAAAAGATGACAGCCAACTGAAGAGCGAATTGCAGGGTGATCCAAAAAAACAAAACAAAAAAAACAATCTGTACAACTTTTTTTGTAAATAGTTTCCTCCACACTGAAGTTCTTTGTTTCGTAAGTGTACTCAACATTTGGAAGTCAAAAGGAATTTAATATGTCGTAATCATTTCAGATAATTCCCCAGAATAGTTTTTCTCTACATAGCGTGTAAAAAAACCCAACCCATTTTCAGCTCTGTCCCCAATTTTGTAGCATGACGCACTAGTTCGCATTAGGCCTACCATTAAAAGTCTCAATGATTACGACATATTTCAAGCTACAGTAGTCTAACAGGCCAACAGAAGTTTACATATTATAGGTTTTCTCAAGTTTCCTTTGACTGCAGAGATCGTGGTTAAGATTAGTAACGACCAGAGAGCTTTTTGTACTGAACATTTCCTCACCGCCAACTCATTTCGTAAGCTTCGCACAATGTACGGTAACAATGTTAAAGTGCCCTTAATGCCTTCTTTGATGTCAAGGGTGGAAATGGTACATCAGTTAAGACCTGTAGAGAATCAGAACAGAAAAATTTCAGACAAAACGACCACTTCAGATCAAACCCACACCGTTTTCATCCCTTTAAACGTCACCAGAGTGCAGAATTCAGTAGATGAACCCCATGAGACGTCTGTTCATTGACTACGTCTGCAGCAAGGACTTTCCTACTTCTCAACGGTTCTCATTTTCAAGGCAGATGTTCATCTTCGACTGTACCATTTTCCTGTTCGCGAAGCTGACATAAATCAGAGGATAAAATTTGATTCCTTGGCAAAGCCCATATTCACATTGCAGGATGTGTTAACTCCACAAATGCCTATTTAGACAACTTCACCCCCCCCCCCCCCCCACTGTCGCTAGAAGCAACTACATACTTTGGCAACAACTGAACATAACGAACGATGCGTTACAATGAGACGAGTCCATTGGAGGACATGTAGAACACTAGTTCTCGGAATTCCAGAACTTCGAAAAATTCTAAAACTCTGTAGAGAAAAAATATTATCGTTTTAAAATAAATTTCTTTTACCATCTATGAAACTTAAAACAATAGATAAAAGGGCATTTAAATATCGAGGCCCCAAGATCTGGAATGCTTTGCCAAGTACTTTAAGAGACATCAATTCTTTTGATTCATTCAAATGTCAGCTGAAGTCGTTTCTGTTTTTAAATTAATAGATGGATTTTTGGAATTCAGAACACAACGTTTTATGTTACAGTGGTACATTGTATTGCATTAAAGCGCTCAGAGCCTATGTACTTTAATCGGGGTTGAGCGCTCCATAAATGTTATTTATTATTATTATCATTATTATTATTAATGTTACAAGGATTGAAAGATTCGACATTAAAAAGAAAAGAAAAAGGCACAAACAAACAAACCAATCATTTCATGACTCCCTTTAAAATTACAAGGTCTTTTAAATTGGTACATTTTGCGTTTATAGGTGGTTTTTGTAAAAGCTATTTCTGTATTCGAAAACAAGTTTCTTCTTTATGAATTTTATGTCAAGCAAACTCCTTTTGGATTAATTAGATTTGTTTCAAATCAAGACATTTTAGTACAAATTTGGTGTGAGATATTCAGAAAAAAGTTTTACACTTGTTTGGGTTTTATTGGATCACCCTGTAGAACAAAAAACCCCTCTGAAAATGGAGAAGAAAATCTTAGTACCTGTAAAAACTGGTGGAAAATCGTTGTGCCTGAAGAAACTCATGGTACCGAATATAAGCCAAACATCACTCATTTTCCCGCATTCATGAAAGTGGCATTGAACTGAACAAGACTGGACTAATAAGACCAAAGCCTCGACCTCACAGGACATAACCAATAATAAACATAATAAACGAAAGCTTATACCGAGAATACTGCTTATTTTGATCGAAAATTACCATGGCGCTTTTTTGTCGAGCCAAGTTTTGTTCAGTATAGAGAAGGCGAATAAAGTGCGAACCAAAACTGTTGATTCCTTTCAACACAAAACAGATGTAACTAAAGTTACACTAATTTTGGCATATACAGTACCAGCGTAGATATAATGATGGGGAAAGGAACGCTGTGTGTTCTTACTGTAAAGTAGCGATTGTGACGGAGAAAATTGTAGAGAACAGATATTGAAGATGACAAGTACACATAAATTCCCCTTTTGAACAACGAATTAGAAGCATCGTATTTAATGTAATACTTGAAGTGACTGAATGTTAAATAATTTGTTTTTTTGAAATTACTGTAAAGTGGTGTGGTTATGGCTTGGAATTGTCCTAATCTCAACTAACCTTGTACTTTAACTCCACTTTTTACGTTGAAAATAACACAAGACAAGAAAAACACAACAACCATGACGGGCTATGCTGAAGAGCTGTTCTTTTATAAACACACTTTAAGCAAACACGACTTGAGTTTCACAATAGCATTTTGAGAACACTTTAATCGGTATCGGTGTATCTTGAATCACATGCTCAGTAGAGATCTTTCTATAGATTAACTTTTCTTCCTTGTTAGCTCTGTCATGAGGAGCAGCTGGTGAAAGAAAGCACAAATTCATTCTATCATCATCTATTTCGTTTTATCTCCTTGTTCTCTTGGTAAGCAACCTCTCTTTATCTGCTTATCATTTTCACGTTTTTTTTTTAATCGTGGAAAATAAAAAAAAAATCTTTTACATTTTTCTGTACGTCTCTTCCAACAGAAAAGCCCTGTAACAAACCGCAAGTAGCCGGGCCTTGCCGGGCCAACCTTCCCCACTACTATTTCGACCGAGGGACGCTATCTTGCCAGCTTTTTGATTACGGCGGTTGCGAAGGAAATGGCAACAACTTTGAGACGTCGGAAGAGTGTGAAGCGCACTGTGGGGGCATACGGGACCGTATTCTGTCTCTGGACCCCTCCAGAGGGAAGGCGTTCAAGGACAGTGTAACAAAATGTGGAACGGGTGGTGGATCAAAGGACGGATGTACAGAAGATGTCCATAGTAATTCAAAGGGCACTGATGGTGAGACTAAAGACGTTGATGTTAAGTCTGGGGATAGTGATAGTAAGTCGGAAGATAGTGATAGTAAGTCGAAGGATAATGATAATAAGTCAGGGGATAGTGATAGTAAATCAGATGATAGTGACAGTAAGTCGGAGGATAGTGATGGTAAGTCAGAGGATAGTGATAGTAAGTCGGGGGATAGTGATAGTAAGTCAGAGGATAGTGATAGTAAGTCAAAGGATAATGATAGTAAGTCAGGGGATAGTGACAGTAAATCAGATGATAGTGATAGTAAGTCAGAGGATAATGATAGTAAGTCCTCAGAGGACAAAGACGGTAATGGCAAGGACAGAGGAGGTGATATTAAGAATGGAGATCTGGCTGGAAATGGTGGAGCAAAGAATGGAAATAGGGAACAAGAAACAACCCAGACTCCAGAAACGACACAGGTACCCACCGCAAGGGGACAGCCCAATCAACCCGGAAACAACGGAGAAGAGCCAGATGTTGCTTTCGGTAATCTGATGAAGTATCGACCAAAAAAACTGTTTGACTCTTTCAATTTTGCTGCTCATATTCTATTTAGACCAAACAAGAAGCCCAAGCAAAATAAACATTGAATAAATTATATATTATAATATATAATATTATCAGTTTTATGAGCAAAAAATGGGATTATTACGACCAAGTCATAATATAATGTACTGGATTATATTGGGTCTTTCCTTTGAGTATAACTTTCGTCGCGAATCTAGAAATAAATATGATGAAGTACTTTCATTTTCCCCCTTCGTGGCGTCATTACTCTATTATTGTGGTTAACTGTTTGCAGACTATTCTCTACCTTAGAATTACAAATTTGTGTGTGACCTTTTTGGCCATATTGAGTTACTAAGGCCATGAGATAAAAAACCCAAATGTTCTATCTGCTCTATCAAAATCTTAAGATTATTCGGAATCGTTATCAAGATATTCGAATAATTGCATTCGACAAAGTTTGACATGTTATGAAACTCAAAATCTTTCACGTCAAATTTCTCAAAACTAGTTCCTGAGCAGATACAAATGAAATGTTGGATTTCTGAGGCAGCATATTCACACACTTGGTGAATAGCAGACATAAAAACGAGGAAGTGGAAAATATTGATTAAAGACATTATATCACTATTTTTGCAGACAACGTTTGAGATTATAATTCTGCATTTTGCTCTGATTGAGCCACGTCGCGTGGAGGTCAAGGGATTATGGTCTCTTGATTCGTTACCAAAGCAAAATAAGCAAAAACCTCTTTTGCCATCTGACACACCAACCTCCCCCTTCCCCTCTTTCCGGCTGTATATCTTCACAAAACCTGCAAAAATATACCCCCCAAAATGTACAAAGCATTAGATAACATTTTAAAACATTACTAAAGTGACCCAAAAAAGAAGAAAATTATTGTTGAAAATTTTTCAGTTGTGATACATTGATGATCACTTTGCTTGGAAAGGAGAGTGAACTTCTCGCTGTGTTGATCTAGTTGTCATTAAACAAGATGAAACAATCTTAACTGCAATTTGTACATCACAAGAGGGCCTTAGGCTTGACACACCATTGCAGCAGAAAAAAATAGTCATCCTACGGGACCCGAACTTGGGTCTTTTGTGTGTAATGTTTAAAAGCCTAAGAGTTATGCCATATAGTTTAATGGAATGGCTTGTGAAATACAAATCATACTTTGATCTAGAAGTGTTTCAGTTTAAGATACGAACACACTTTCACTTATTTTGAAAATATTATAATATGAATGGGGAAAACTGTCGCTGAAAAGTTCTCCCCAAAAGCTCGTTTCCGTCGAATTTAACAAAAGTTTAAGATCACATAGTATCAGTTGGAGGGTTATCGCTTAGTCGTCCAATAAACGATAATAAAGAACTAATTTGTCTGGTTTTATATTGGCTTACATACTTAACTAACGCAAAGTTTGCCAGAAACTCTCATACAAAGTTCCTCACTGCAAAGTCAAACACGAGAAAGAGTACTCATGAAAAATGTGGTATACTATTTTTTTTTAACGTGAATTTTATGCAGCATGATGCCCTTGGAGACCCCGTAAGAGTCACATTGAAGTGGTTATACTGTGTTTAAAATTCCGTCAGTGTTTTAGGTAGTGGCTAAACAAGTACGCGCCATCTATTTTTAGAAGCAAACGTTAGGATTATTGCCAGATGCCACTCTTTTAACAGAAAATGAATCGTGAAAATATTGACATCTCTGAAGCTTCAAGTATGTCAACTTTGATTATTTCACAATCAACGGCCCTCTCGTTGAGCGTTTAAAATTGTATCTCGAGTTAATCAAGTCTATCGATCATCTTGTGTAAACTGGCTATCTCGCAGGCCAGTAATGAGATCTATTGATAGCCGTCTTTCTATATGAGACAAGATGTGGCGCATCTAAGCGGAGACCTCTAATCTACTCAGAGCTTTACAAGCAGAGATATAATCATCTTATTACCCACCCTCATTGCTGGTCATTCAAACCAATCAGCGAAGCTTGTTCTCCGCGCGGGAGCAGTTATGCCGTCGTGAATACACGAACAGGCCGTCCATTCCTTCAGGTCAGATCAATTGAAAACATGAGCGACCCGAGAGGGTGATTTGAAGGGCTGACGAGGAAACCTGTTGGACGGATCTGGACGCTATCCAAGGACTTGCTGGTCATTGTTTACCAAAGAATTAGTCCAATTCAATGCCCCCCTCTCTCTCTCTTCCCTCCTCATCTTTTTCTCTCTCTCTATCTCTTTCTCTCTCTCAATCTCTCTCTCTCTCTCTCTCTCTCTCTCTCTCTCTCTCTCTCTCTCTCTTCTCTCTCTCTCTCTATCCCTCACCATTTTTCTCTCTCTTTCCCTCCCAAATTTTCTCTATCTCCTTGTTTCCCCAAATCCACCCCCGCCACTTCTTCAATAACTCTTCCCCTCCTTCTTCTTCTCTCTTTCCCTCTCTCCTCCTCTCTTCCGTCTGTCTTTTTCCCTCTCCCTCCTTGAGCATCTGTATGTGCATGTATGTGTGTTTGTGTTTTCTTGTTTGAATGTTTGCTTATTAGTATCTCTGATATCCGTAGTGATTGTCTGAATAAATTTATGCTCGCTTTTCATGGTGTTATGAGGTTTTAATTGAGAAAGCGACCTAAATCTTTATACTTGTGATAATTTTTCGCACCCCAGAAAATATTCTATTCTACTCCCCTGCCTCCCCCCCCCCCCACAAAAAACACATCTTTCCTTCCCAGCTGCAGCTTAATTTTTGTTTAAAAGCTCAAAAGTTTCAAGATTATTAAGGCAGACAGACACTGATTCTTACTATGAAACAGGGCAACAGACTCAAAATTTAAAAAAACAACTGAAGTCAATGATTCGTAGCAGAAAGGAAATAAAGCGTGTTTGTATGATTGTAGGGGATGGTGCTATTGGTGGGTAGGGCGAAAGAGAACTTTTTACGCTCCCATCGACCCACGTGGTACTTGGCTAAGTCATTCTCAGAACTGTGTTCAAACAAGTAATGTATTATCCCACTGAGCTCTTTCGTTCAAACGTCAACCTCAACGTTTTTTTTATTAGCTGAAACGTTCCTGTGCAGATGAGTAGAAGTATAGGTAGAGCATGGGAAAGATTTATTTATTTTTGTTAGATTAGTATTTTACGTCACTCGCAACGGCATAAGGTCATATGAGCGCGCGAGACACATTAAACATGTTCAGAATGGTAGGAATTTTGAATTTTGCCTGAGTGCCGACAGATGCCTACTCAAGTCTATTTTGGATCCACCAAGGGGTCTTTAACGTGCGCAATTTTCACACGGACCTCAAAGATTTTACACCCTTTTCCGAGTGGGCTAGGTGTTCGATCTTACCTACCATATGATCAGAGGTGTGGCTGAAAGACAACAGTAAGAAGGAGCCAAGGAGTAGCAGTAGAAAGACTGCAGACAGAGCCAGGTGCCCTGAGGAGGGGGCAAAGAGGAGGATGGGGGGAGAGGCAGAAAGTAGAGGCGAAAGCAGACGACAGAATATGGCTAGAGAGCAGGAAAAGAGGTGAAAGGAAAACATTTTAAAGAAGAATATTTTTCGTCGCTGTCAGGTTTCAAACCTGGGATCTATTGAATGAGAGGCGAACACCGTAACTTCTGGACAACGAGAGCCCTTCTAGGAAAAAAAAAGTAAAAAGTAAAAAAAAGGTAGGCGGGGGTGGATCTTATTGAGCAGCGGCAGAAAACACATTATTTATGAAACATACCAGCGGTATGACTAGTATCGGACACACTTAGAGATATTAAATGTATCATTACCAGGAGGAATTACCCACAATGAGAGCAAAAATAAACTAAGCAGCACAAAACGTGATCAATTATGAAAATGATTAAAATAAGTTGCCGTATTTATATTGTTTTTTTGTTTTTTTCGTGATTTAATTCTGTTTCCGAACACGTATCCATTATTATAGATAAGACGTTAACGACTTTTGCTTTTCCTTGGAGAAGAATAATATTGCCTCGAGAAATGTAATGTAATGAGATTAAAGATCACAATAAGAGACCAAGAAAAAGAGACGGAAGTGAACAAAAACACTCACCAAATTGAAAAAAAATAGAGTAGAGAGGCTGCGCAAATAATATTTTTCAGTATAACGACCACATATTTAGGAAAAACAACAAGCACATAAATGTACAAAAAGGAGCAAATTAATAGTAGAGACATGCGGACGATGAACTCTCTCTCTCTCTCTCTCTCTCTTTCTTTCTCTCTCTCTCTCTCTCTCTCTCTCTCTCTCTCTCTCTCTCTCTCTCTCTCTCTCTCTCCTTCTCTCTCTTCTGTGTTTCTATCTTCTTGTCCTTTTTCTTTATTTTACTCTTTGTTTGTCTTTCTGTCTGCTCCTTCCCCCTCTCCCATCTGTCTGTTTCATCGACAAGGGAGCTTGCTCGTTAGTAAAAATATTGTCGAGCATTCCATAATATGGGTTTTCGAAAGATATTATGTTACCAAGAGGCAGGTCAGTTCTCTCTTTCTCCCTCCCTTCTCCCACTCATTCACTGACCCTCTCACCCCCACTCCCCCCCCCCCTGTTCTTCTCTCTTTGCTTTTAATGGCGTTTGTGATGGAATAGTTAGGCTCTCTTCGTCGTGGTACACAAAAAAAACAGGATTTCGATTCCGTCACCAAAGAAATTTAATTGATTTCAACGGGTATCTCAGCCGGTCTGTTGGGATGCTTTAGCCAACTCTGTCAAGATTGGCCACGAGAAGAAACCAGCCTCCTTAATGATCTGACATATGGAGGCATAAAGCATTTGCAATTAAACATTTTTTTCTCTCTCCGTCTCTCTTTCCATATCCCTCTATCTTCATCTTTCTCTCTGATCCCCTTCTCCTTCTTCCCATCCTCTCCCCCCTCTCGCCCTCTTCCCTCCTCTCTTTATCTCTCTTCTCTTTCTGTCGGTCTCTCTCTCTTTTAGCTGTCCACTAATCGCAAACGTATTTGGAGAAAAAAAGCGGAGGACTGGCCTGGTAACAGCGAATGTATAATCTTTTTAAAACAGAAGAAAAAGGTCCTGAGGAGCAGCAATTCGTCTTGATGGTATTGATCATGGTATCAATACTCAATGTTTTTTTATGGGATCTAAGTCAGAAAAGGAAGAAGCAGGCTGAGACGCAGAATCCTTTTGAAGTCTGCTGCCTCGCGGGATTAAACTTTACCTGCAGATTTTAAATAAAATCGAAGCAGCTAAAAACGGATTTCATTTTCGG